AGAAATGAAGCGTGGCTCTATGTTTCAATGTTATGTATTTGCACAAGACTATTATCAGAGTAATAGGTTTCAAAGTAGAAACTGTTTTACAGATTTGATTGCAATTGCACAGGAAAGTAAGTGTGAGATTTGCAATGGCTGAATGAGAACAATACTGCAAACATTTTAGAGACAAAATTAAGCTCTATATAGATTAATTGTATAGCGGCACACAATGAAGATTATGATCCATAATGAGCTTTGGGCAAATCTTCAGTGCAGAGACATACAAAGAGCCTTGAAATAGTAATGAGAAGTCGTGTTTTGGTAGCTTGTGGAAAGCTCGGGGGAGGGGCAGGTAAGTAGGCTACCGGATTTTTTAAAAATGAGATTTTTGCCAGTGGGTATTCCATCAACTGGAAGCTGTCTCTTCTCACTCTAAAACACTTTGCGCACTGTCAGTCTTGTCAGAGCTTGGCCCCCAGAATAGGCACTCATTAATCCACAGTCCTCCTCAGCGCTCGGGGGAGGGCTCACGTCGCACAGCCTCAGAGACCCAGCGGGGAGGGCCGTTGGCGCAGCATTGCAGCCGCCTCCGATGGAGACTCCGGCTGGACTGTGATGCTTTCCTGTGGTGGTGGCTTTCACTCATGGCCATGACCGTGCAAGCGATCTTTAATAAGAGTCCATCATGGGGGAGAAAGAGCATTTCCAGCAGTTATGTGAAGAATGAGTTGGCACCCATTTGTTTTGTTTTTACACTTTTTTTTAAAGATTTATTTATTTGTGCATACAGAACAGGGGTACAGGCCAGAGATACAGGGGCGGTGAGAGGATCCATCAGAGACAGACTCGGGGAGCAGAAGAGGCTGACTGCTGAGGGAGCAGCGGGGATCTGCTGCACCATGTGGGTCACCTCTGGGGCGGGGATCGAACTCATGCTGCAGTGGCTTTAGCTTCTTAGTGCTGTGCTTTAACCTGCTGCGCCACCAGGGAGGGCCCTGTGTTTACAATATTTTGGGTCACAAATATTGCTTCCTTTTCACCTGTGTATGTGAGCGCTAGTCCCTCCTTTGTCTTTAATTCCAGCTAGCGGTTCTGAGACAGCCTTTTAAAAGCCTGTATGGATAGTGTATAAGGCTGCCAAGGATCCCTTGATTTTTAAAAGATCACAAATATGATTAACTTTCTATATTTATCCTATCCACATTTCCCCAGCGCCTACTTTTATCTTCCTCCACACCGCCACCAAATCCATCATTTTGACTGATTCTTCTCTTTTGTTTTTGACCTCAAGACTCTCCGTGACAAGAGGGAAAAGGTGGACTTAACGGAGATAAAAGAAAACTTTTTACTATGTCTAGTTGCCGAACTGACCAGAATGTTACAATGCAACTTATAGAGCTCCAGTCAATTAAAATAAGGTGAACTATGAGCAGGGGTGGAGTATGATGTTAGATAACTATGCGTTTCCGTTGGTCCAGTCAAACACAGTGTAGACCATACCCACTCTGCCCTTCAACTGGATTTCCAGCCCCAGCTACTGGCAAATAACGATCTGGTACTGGCAGTGATTTAGCATTTCTTCATGTAATATAAATCTGTTCAAGTGTGAGTATAACACATTAAATAAAAGGCGCTTTTAAGTAATAAACCCAGATAATTCAACTTGGTCCTAATATGTTGATACTTATAATGGCCATTTTAATCAAATATCAATACAATTATTATCAGTGCATTTTTACTATGCAATCATGTTAATAGCAAAGCAATTTAATGCCATGCTTTTTCAGCTTTCAAATATACTGATCTCAAAATTGTATTCAATGAATACTTAGAATAGCTGGCAATGAGATCACATTTAAACAAGCTAATAGGAGACTAGTATTAACATGAGTTTTCCATATTGAAATATGTGAGGTTTTAAACATTGTAGTCACCTGATTGGAAAATACAGCCAGGATTGTCTGGAGGTCAGAAATGCTACTGCTGATGCTCTCTGGGGCCCATTTCATAAATGCTAATTGTTAGAAATTTTTTTATTAGTTTGGACACAGCCCAGAGTATTTCTCATTCTGGCACTGTTGACAGCTGCCAACACTCTTCAATCAGAAATGGACCGTTATTTGAAACATTTTTCCCTTCCCATGAAATGTATGACCATTACAAGGTTTGGAATACAGACGAGTATAAACAAAGCCACAGTATTTCATTATTCAGACTTACATACTGCTACCAATTCATTCTTGTGATTTTATGTTAGGAGGTACAAATGAAAAGATATTGATACTTTTGTTATAATTTAGGATTACAAAATGACATGTTAACTTTTAATTTTAAATGTATTTGAGAAATATTTCAGTCATACACTTAAGCTATCAAATATCTATGTAGCTTATAATAAAAAAAGATTTAATAAGTAGTATTATTTGATGTGTTTACTTTCAATTGTTATAGAGGAAGGAGGATGTGACAGATTTTTTTAAACTTCAACCTTTAAGCCAATTTCTCTTCCTACTAACACAGCAATTACAATAATCAAATATGTGTCTTTTTTCAGGTCCCACATTCATTTCACAAAATCTATTTATGATGATAGTCTCATAGGGCAACATCTTCTAAAGTTTGAAACTCTTCTATAATTGGAATCCCATAGTACCTCGATTTAAACTTTTGTTTCCATGTATATGTATATAGATACCTGTATGCATATCTTTTTAATTAATCCAATGTACTTGTATAACAATGGAAAGATTATCTAGGCATAAGCAGCAAAAAAAAAAAAAAAAGACTTTGTTCCTAGATTTGGTCAATATTTTCTTTAAAATGCTTGCCCAAATTTTCAGCTTCAGTGTATGAGATAGGAGTTCTGACTTTTTTTTTTTTT